CAAAGTTAAGCCAGAAAACGTCAAAAAAGGCAAGTAACTGGCAACCCACCCACAAAAACCAGACAGACTGAGAAAGCCCAGACATCTCGCCAATAACAATAAAAACAAAAACAAGTAAGACAGAAAAGAGAAAACTAAACTAAGAAATTTTGTATTTATACAGTTGCCAGGTTTTTGTGATGCTGCTGCAAAAAGGACAAACAACAATAACTAGATCCTGGGATGCAAGGACGAGGCCAAAGAAAGGCAAACAACAGAAGCTGGCGAACTAAAAGCGCATTTCGAAAATCGAAAAGACCCGAAAGAGCCACAAAATATGCAACCGCAACAAAACCAGCTCAAAAGCCACGCCCCCCACACACACATACACACTCCCTCTACTGTGTGTGTGTGTGTGTTGGGTGGAAAAAGGAGAGTGTGCCGTGTGTGTGTGTGTGCACACGAGATAAATGCACGGAACGCGCACAATTAAATATTCAGAGCGAATATTTTTTGTCGGTTTTCGCCAGTTGCCATTGGAGTTGAGTACCAACCAATGCAACCAACTAACCAAAAAAAGAAAAACATAAAGGAAAATGCCACAGGGAAAGCTGTAAATACTCTATCAAATATGTGATAAATACAATAACAAAATATAGTTGATATTTATGGTATTATGTCTTAAGAGTGGAAAGCATCTTAATGTAACATATAACAAAATATTATAGAAATTATAGAATAGATCCGAGATCCTGAAATTATCCTTGAAAGAGTATCTTTAGTTCCATTTTCCACACTCTCGCAACCATAAACTGATCAAAAGTATAAAGTTTCCTTTTGGAAATGTTGTTCCAACACGTACATATATGCCCTAACCCATCTGTACTTTTTGGTTTATCTCCAAACATGTACATGAGACTATCTTTTTGGCTGTCTAAAAGTTGTCGCTCCAAGCGTAACATAAAAATTGTATTTTTACGAGCTAAATGCATTTCAAAAGGTATATATTTAAGCTAAAAAATTAACTAAAACTTAAAGTTCTCCTACATCAGAGTTGTTAATATTAGAGTTATCCTGAAACTTCCTCTCTCTGTCAATAGCTTTTCCGCGCACACAGTAAACATTGTCCTGAAATGAATATAACGCAGGTGGAAAAGTATCTCCATGCGTTAAGCTGCTTGCGGTGAATGTGAAAAGAGTTGGAAAAGCGGAAAAGCAAGCAGGCCTAGCTAAAGGCTGACAGGCTACAGGTATTTCATGACTGTGTGTGTGTGTGGGGGAAATGCATATGGAAAGCGCAGGAGCCACTCCCCCCCTCAAATGCCGATGACGATGACAATGATGATGGCGATGATGACAGCGATGGCGTGGCGGATGCGGCTTCCGTTTCCGGTTGTGGTCCAAGGCAGAGCCTTGCTCTTCTTCATCCCCTGGCCTCCCCCCGCCTAAGCCATGTCCATTTGCTTCGTTATCAGTCGTTAGCACATACAATTTTGTTACCCAACTGCTGCTGCTACTATTGCCTCTTTGGGGCAATTTCTGGTATTTGTGTATCCATTTGAAGTTTTCCCATTTAAATGCGACAACTTCCTGGTCCTTGGACTGTCCGAACTGGGTGGAAGAGGGGGGAGGAAAAGTTAGTCGAGTGCATTTCCTGTTGCAAAATGTTGCATTTCCTTTTCCCCACATTCTGGACACTGGTCAAAGTTTTCGGTTTAAACTTATTTTGATGATTAAGTGGTTCACTTTTGGAGAGTCAAAGCCAATAAGGAAATTCCGGCAATGCAAACAGGTTCTTAGGGAAAGGTCATGCGAGCGCACACATGGATTTGCGATTATTTTCCACGCCGCTTAATGCTTTAATTGCATTTTCCTAACAAAATGCCGGAACAAGCGCTCTCTCATATTTTCATTATTATTACTTGTTTTTTTGTAGCTCTGACAATGGCAAGGGTCAAAAGTATGCACATAACATTGAGGAGAGTGAGGGTAGCACCACCATGGCGTATACGTAATTTGCATTACAATGAACCCAGCAGCCTCCTTCATCATCCTTCCTCGTCGTTCATTCTCGTTCATCCTCGTTCATCGCTGCAAGGTGTATAATTTTGATAGCAATTCTACAAAGGCCACAGAGCTGCGGTTGGCGATGCGATGACTGTACTTCAGGCAGGGGTCAGGGGAGAGCGACTCTGGAAAAGGAAGTTTTCCCGGGGTCGGTGAGCGTTGCATTTCAATTGAAATAACAATAATTGTTTGCAGCAGCCACTGCCGTATCCCCTCTCCCCCTTTCTGTAGTGTAATGCTTTTGTTTTGTGGCCTGGCAATTCTTGCTCCTCTTCTGGCGCCTCTTTCAACTGGTGAATGGAATGGGGCGCAGCATCGGATGTTGAATGTCAGTGACTGCCACGCCCCCTCCTGTAAGGGGGCATCTAACCTCTGGTGGCAATGATGGCGAAGCAAACCACTTGGACTCACTCCAACTCAATGGGTTTGGTGAGGTCTTTCAGCAGGATATTTTATTTATATTTTATAGAAAATTTAATTCAATTTATATGCACTTTTAAAGCTATAGTTTTCAAAAATTCTATGTCTATTTTATAGAAAATGTAATTTATTTAAAAATCACTTTTAAAGCAGTAGTCTTACATACTTTTCTTGCATTTAAAATCATTCATAACTAAGCCAAAAATGCTTTAATTTCAATACGGAAATAGTTTCTGTGCTAGTTTTTTTAGGGCTAAAAAAGCTGTATACTGGGTTTTAAAATATAAAAATTTTAATCTTATATCACATTTTTACCATTTTAACGATGTAACCCCTTATAAAATTTTAACAAAAATTTAAAAAAATTGTTTTCTTACAAACATAGCTAAATCGACTCGGCTTTTCATGCTGATCAAGAATATATTTGATTTATAGGGTGGGAAATAATTTCTTTGCTGAGTTTTAAGCTTCTGACTAAAATTATGATACCCTGAAAGGTTATAAAAATGAAAGGCTTTTTGTTTCCATTTTTACTTTTTTTTTTGCTGATTAAATAAAAAATCGCTAGACCTATTAAGTATACATAAATATAAAATATATAGCAAAATCTACAACTAACCGAAAGACTTTGTGGCTATTAAAAAAATCAAATATTAATAATATATTACATGCCTTAAAAAACTAACACCTCAATTAAAATTCTAGCAACAATTCACCATATTATATTTAATAATTTAACAGCTTAAAGTTAATTTTTCTGATTCTCCCAGGTATCTCATTATCACCTTTAAGCAGTTAATTGCAGCCAAAAGGCTCATCTTCCCAGCAGGATGGTTTTTCCCTTGCCAAGTTGTGAAAATGTTTTTCCTCACTTTACGCTCTAAGTGATTTTCAATTATGAAGCGCGACAACAAGGATTCCCGGGATTCCTGGGGACCAAGTTTACCTGCCCCACAAGGAGGGGAGCATTGTTAAAAAATGTCTTGCATAAAAAGTTTTTAATTGCCATGTGCTTTTCCCCAAAAAAAAGGAAGAAAGAAAAAATAACTGGTAGTTGAGTATTTTTTGCCGTAGTAATTAGTTGCTGCTTCAGCTGCAAATTAAGCCATAATTATGCGCAGCCAGCGACACTCTGAAGGAGTTGACTGAGCTATGAAGGGTCTCGGGATCCCCCTATATCATACCCACAAACTTCTTTGGCCAGCTCAAAGTCCTAGCCACAACAATTGGCCAACAAGTTGTCGCTGGCCAACAGCTCTTGCAACATAAACACGGAAAAAAAGGTCATGCAAAATATTTGCTTAAAAACCATCAAGTTCGTCGCCATTGAGCTGGAACGTGTGGCAATGCAGGGCTTTGAGTGAAAATTGGAACGATGGCAAATTTGGAACACTGAGAGAGAGAGAGAGAGAGCGAAAGCGAGAGTATATTTCTCTCATAAAAAGGACTCGAAAAAGGACTCTAGCATGAGCAACAAGAAGCTAAAAGTCGCCGACAATTGCAGCTGCCGTGTTACTCTCTGGGATTCCTGTATTCTGGTCATAGACCATTTTCCACCATTGTTATGCCAGATTCCTGGTGATGGGCGACGAGAGGGAGTTGATAGTGCCATGAGAGGGAGGAGGGAGGAGGGAAGGCGGGGGAGGACAGTGGCAAGGACATGACTGATAAGCGTGGCAGCGACACTGTCAAAGGTTGTGATTGATGCACACAGGTTGTAGCTGCTGTCAGGACAGTGGACATGAAGTGAGGACAACGATTAAAGTCTTTGTTTTTTTTTTTTGAAGAACTTGTGATAGGAAATGGGAAATAAAAGGTTATATATTTAAAATAAATGGGTATTATATCTGTTTCTTAAAAGCTTCTTAAACAAATAGTTAAGATATAGCTTAAATAACATATTAACTGGAGCCGAAATCTAAGGATTATTCCCTGAACTTGTTGGGTAACAAAAAGTTACCTTTAAAAGGTTTAAAAACCGATCTATTTCTGATTTATATTTTAATACATATTAATACTATTAATTTCAGTTGATTTTTTTCAGATATTTCAAAAAAAGGATCCTTTACTGATTTTCTTTGTTGTCTGACTCCACTGTACTCTAATTGCTGTTGGTCTTTCACCTTTTCCCACTGTCAACGCACTAACTGTAAGCGATGTTTTCTCGATGAAGCTCAACGTATCTGTACATCTGCATTTACAGCTAGACCCATACACACACAAATGCAATAATACAGGTGTGCGTGTGTGTTCGATTCCCGGCAGGAGGTTTATTTTTCAATGCGGCGCTAATGTCCTTTTCTTGCTCGCCTTTCTTTTTTTTTGTTTGTTGCTGCCGCCCACTCTGGCCTCTGGCACTTTGTCAATTCGCAAACAAAAACGAATTGCACACAGGATTATCGAAGAATACTCATACGCAATGGTGTACACTGCGCATAGTTGCTCTCTGACTTTCTCACTTGTCTAAATAAGAAAAGTTTTCTTTAACTAATCAATTTCCTTTTATTTATAAACATTTGTTGTCTACATTTTTTATTACCAAATAACAAACGATGCTGTCTTTGGCTGTGCTGCTTCACATATGAATAGGCCCAATTTGTCACAACGATTGTCATTGAAAGAGTTGTAATTCGATTCAACTGCCAAATATCCCAACTCATCACAATGCTCGGCACCTTTGTAATTATCTGGATTTCCGGGACCCCAAAGTTTAAGTAATATCGGTTGACCGGTTGACAACCAAACATGTTTTCCCTGATTTCCCAAATCAGTGCCTGAAGTCCAATACTGGGCCATTATCTTGTATTTCCAGAGAAAAGCATTGATCAAGTTCCATTCCTCAATGGTCTCAAAAGCTATAAGATCGGCGCCCAATTGGCGACAGGCAGCGAAAGCATCAAACCAATTCTTTGCAGTAACTCTTTCAATATAGTAATATCCATGGCCGATCTTTGTAAACGGACCAGTTGTTATATTCAGATACTGCGGTATTCCTAGAGAACATTTATAGGAGTTGGTAAATTTAACTTATTTTGTAGTTTGTAGTTTATTTTACCATCCTCTATGGTTGGTGTCACTTCAAAACATCCGACCAATGAAAATAGGCACAATATAGAACCGAGAATTGTTAGTCTTATGAACATTTTGCGAATACTGATAAATGCGTCTGAGAACTCAACCTTTTATACTGAACTTAAGGGTAAAAAAAAAGATATATGTATTTACCCCACATTTAGAGATAGTCTTATACTTAAATAAACATTAATTTCAATTTTCTTAGAGTGTATGGTAAATATAGCTTTTTAAATGGCAAACAAAATAAGCAGTACAATAAATATTTGCAAAGTAGTCATTTTATCTGGGAATTCTTTTCCTTGCCGACTCAATAAAATAATAAACAATGTTGTTTAGTTTAGATTTAAAGTTTGTTTTTGTTTTTTTTTTTAAGATTATGAATAAAAAGTTATCTGAAACTGTTTGTTCTTTTATAAATGAGATCTAGTTGTTCAGTTTCCTTGCAGACTGCTTTTATTTATTATTATATAAACTGCTTTTATTTTATTGCCAAATAACAAAAGACGCTGTCTTCGCTAGCGGCGCTTCGCATATGTACAGAAACTTATTTTCGCAATTATAATCATTCAACGTGTTGTAGTTGCTTTCAGTTGCTCTATCTCCCAGCAGGTCACAATGTTCATTTCCCTTATAATTATTTGGCTCTCCAGGATACCATATTTTTAAGGATATTGGTTGACCGGTGGAGAACCATTCATGCTTTCCCTGACTCGCCAAGTCCGTTCCCGAGACCCAATACACAAAGCCAATATTATTTTTCCAGAGATACTGATTGATTAAATCCCATTCTTCAATAGTCTCAAAAGAAACCAGATTGGCACCCAAGCGACGACATGATGCGAAGGCATCAAACCAATTCTTTTGAGTCCTCAATTCAATGTAATAATAACCATGGCCGATCTTAAGGAATGGTCCTGTGGTAATGTTCAGGTACTGCGGTATCCCTAAGGTGTACTTTACAAATTAGAAACGTTTATATATATATATCGATAGAGTCATATTTACCATCTTCAATGTATGGAGTCACTTCAAAAGCTCCAGCCAAAGAAAATAGACACAATACCGAACAAAGAATAGCGAATTTTGCACATTTTGCACATACTGATGGCTAGGCCTTCGAGCAAAGCTCTTTTATACTAAAAAGTGCGTTAAGCAACGGAAATGATACTCTTGATTTTAGTCTAGAGTAAATAATAATTTGCGCTTTATAAGAGGGCTAAGCAAATATGGATTTTGAAGTGGGTTCTTAGTAAGATTGCTAATTTTTTACTAAAACAAAAAAATAATAAATAATTTTGTTTACCTTTGATTCTACATTTCTTATTTTAAAAGATTTTGTCTGCTCTTGAACCGGTCGGATCGAACGACTATATCTTTCTCTATCTCTCTATCTACCTATCTCTACCTTACTGCCTCTCCCTCTCTGCCTTTGTCTCTCTCTCTCTCTCTGTGTATCTCTAGAGGTCTCTCTTTATCTCTATCTCTCTCTACTTATCTCTATAGAGATAGCCCTTTCTCTCTCGCGCTCTCTATTTTACTTTCTCCGTATTCTCCACACTCAAAGAGTATAAATACAGCTTCTGCCGTCGTGCTGACCTCATTCTGTCCGCGGCTTCTTGAGTATTAACATCTATAGTGATAGTGACCCCAAAAATTTCTCCTGACCAAGGCAATAATATCTGGATAACCAGGAAGAGAGGGTAACTAAAATTAATTATACACCTCACAGCTTAGAGAGAAGTAGCTTCAATAGCAGTAAATGTCAGGCTAGAATAATATATAATATATATTTTTGGTACAAAAATGTCAGAAGAGCCCGCTGTTCCCATTAAGACGGCACTGCCTTGCGGTACCCCACTCAGACCGGCACCCATTTACAAGAAGCTGATGGTGGAGAACCTAACAGTTGTCCGGCCGCCAATTCTAAAGATCTACTATTGGGAGAGCTTTGACATAACAGGGTGAGTTCTTAGCCATAACCAGATCCTTTGGGTTACTTGACATAACCCTTTCCTTTCCCAACTGATAAGCTTAGATTGAACAAGAAGTTGCGCTCGAATCGTGCCGAACATGAACACACCATCGTGATTCCCATTCGCCAGATTCATAGTCAACCTCTGAAGATCATATTCTGGGTAAAGAATCTCGCGTCCACAGACACCAAGCTGACCCTGAAGCGAATCCAGAATTGCCAATGTCAGCCACTAAGGACACAAGTTGGCTTCAATCAGTATCGCCAGCTCTTCAACTGCCCACACCGTAGGTTGCTCCATATTAACCAGGAACTTCTGGTCATCAAGCCCGATGAAGTGGTGGCCCTCACTGCCACGGCATACTTCTTTCTGTATGGCGATCATCTACTCACCTATGAAGTTAAGTAAGTATCTTAGTAACTAACAAGTCAAAAGATACTATGGATATTTCTAGCACCGATGACAAGCGCAAGTTCCTTTGGCATTTTCATCTGGAGATCTCTGACTTTCATCCCGAAAAGTGCTTGCTCACCAAGGAGCTGCTGCCAGTGAACATAAAGAATTTCTCACATGTCACCCAACCCATTTGGGTGCAGAATATCACAATGTCCCATCTTTCCTTTTCGTTTTCATCGCGTGATCGTGGCCTGAAGTTGCTCAATATGAATCTCACAGTTCCAAGACAGAGTGTGTGGCCACTGCTGGTGGACTATCGCCCACTGGATTACGAGAATGAGGTATAATCAGGAGAAATGGGATTAGGTATATTTATTATTTCTATAATTTGCTATAGGCTGAGGTCTTTCTGACCTACAACAGTACCAAGGCTCGCTACAAATCAAAGCTCGAGGAGTGCTGGCTGACAGCAATGAGGAAACGGAAATGCCCCTGAGGGATCGCGAGTGCACCGACTTTCTAAATGTCATATATCCCAACCGAGTCAATGTTGAGGCCTGTCTGAGGGAAGAGCGGACGCAGCTCGTCAATGTCCATAATTATGGTCAAAAATGCCTCGAATTTCGCTGGCAAAGGTGAGCTAGAAATCGAGCTATCACTATGAGAAATTTCCTTAATTAATTTCTGACAGCTACATCATCAACGAGTTCTTTTCGGTGGTCTTTAATCCGCCCATCTTCCGCCTCAAGAGCCATCACTCGAAGCTTTGCGTGATCTCGGTGACAGTGCTCGAGCGTCTGGTGCACTTCCGGCGCATACCCATTGTCCTGGAGGTGCACCGCATCCTTGATCGTGCCACCCAGATTGCCAAAGGAGAGCTGGCCGAGATTGAGTCCATCGATGATCCCAAGTGGAAAGAGGACAGCTACTTGGAGCACCTCTATCTCCAGCTAAATATTCGCACCAGCTTGAAGCCGACTTTGGACACATCCGAGGATATGGAGCCTGGTGAAAAGATCGATCCCACAGCAGGTCTCCCACCTTGTGCTCAGTTTGGCTCAGGAGTAGGAGCTGCTGAAAGGGCAGAAGATTCGATCACGGAACCACCAAAACCGGTGCCACCGAATGAGCAGCAGCGTTTGGAAACGGAACGCAAGGATCTTATTCGTCGATTAATGTCCAAGAATCGACTCTGCTCCAATGAGATCATAGACTTGAGCATGGCCATTGATCAGCGTATTACCATTTTCGAGAAACTCTTCTGGAAGTACCTCAGCAAGTCCAAGTTCATGCGGATCAATCAGGAGCGAAAGCGGCAAAAGACAATGAAGACCTACGAGCAGGTGGTATGTCCTGATGAAGATTTTCCAGTGGAACCCGTCACCGAACTCGATAGCAAGTAAGATTATCTTGTTTTCCAATTATTCAATATTAATTATTAATTAATTAATCCCTTGTTAGCAACATTATGGATATCCTATCACGCCTGATGCAGGAGGCCATCAACGATTTGGCCAAGAACTGGATCTTCATTCCCTCGCAGTATTACGAGCCCGCCAATTAAATGTTCCCCCAGAGTTAACCAAATACATTGCACCACCCAAAGATTCGCCAGCAATCCTTGCATCCTTTGCATTTTCCTTTTGCGAAGGATGCACTCACTTTCGGGTTGTCCGCACCGCGAAATTTATGTAAGATTTCGCACGAGCTGAGAGCCAACGCCTCCGTCTCTGCCTCCGCCTTCGCCTTCGTGGTGAGCATTTTGGGTGAATTTATGTGTCTGCAGGAAGCCTTTTAGGACGTTCCTTTCCACGCAGACGAACCAGGGCGTGGCAGGAGGATACTAAGGAGGGGTCAGACCATTTGAAGCGAGTATTTATGCTCGGCGCCGGCGATTAGTTTGTGTGGGAAGCAGGCCAAATGGTCAAGTGTATAGCGATTTGTGTTAGGTGGAGTGTCTAATAGTTGAAATAGCCACCGGACTCGGTGAACGTTTTCTTACAAGAACAATACGGTTTAATGTTTATTAAAAAAAAAAAAACAAAGCTGAAGATTGCATGCCCTTAGAGTTTGCAATTGAAATATAAGGTCGAATCAGATATCGATCATAAAGAAGCTGTAAATATTCGCTTCCATTGAAACGATATTTATCCATAGTTTTATATGACAATTTTTTCGATAAATCGAAATTTAAAAATATCATATGTTAACTGAGCTAAAATGCATTAATTTAAATTCGGAAAGTATTTCTGTGTTAGTTTTTAATAGGCTTATAAATCTGCATACTCAACTTAAAATTTTAAAAAATTCAAATTTTTTTACAATTTTTACGATGTAACCCGTCCTATTTTTTCTAAAAAAAATCGAAAAAATTTCGAAAATTTTTATTTTTAACCAAACGTGGTTAAATCGATACTGCTGTTTGTGCCGATCAAGAATATATATGAACAAGAAAGGAAGCTAACTTCGGCACGCCGAAGTTTATATACCCTTGCAGATAGAAATTCTAGGACTAGGAATCCATACCATATAAATTAAATATATTTGTGTTAAAAAACAATGAAGTAATACCTGCTTTCATTTCATTCACCTATACATACATATTATATTTGCAGTTTTACATTCACAGATTTGCATTTTTCCTCTTCATCAAACGATCGTTTGTATGGCACCTATATGATATAGTCGTCCGATTTTTA